AAATGAAAATTGGCCGAGATAATCCGGATCTACCGGATATACCAAATCCCACTTTTTCGGAAAAATTTTTCGGAACAAATTTAACAAACCCAAATGATAAAGCATATTTTTCTGAGTATTTTCCACAAAACCGCTTAGAAATATCTTTTTCCGGAGCAGAGATATGATTTTTTGAAAATGGCATTTTTCGTCTATTTTTGCAAAAAATTCAATTTTTAAGGGAAAAATGCCATTTTCAAAAAATCATATCTCTGCTCCGGAAAAAGATATTTCTAAGCGGTTTTGTGGAAAATACTCAGAAAAATATGCTTTATCAAATGGGTTTGTTAAATTTGTTCTGAAAAATTTTTCCGAAAAAGTGGGATTTGGTATATCCGGTAGATCCGGATTATCTCGGCCAATTTTCATTTTCATGAAAAATGCAGAAACATGTCAACTGAGATACGAATAGAGCTTTCGATTGGTATATAAAACGTATTTTTTGAATAAAAAATTAAGAATTAAGAAAAAAATTTCTAGCGCTTCCATACTTTTTTCCACGACTGTAAGACCAAGTATTCAATAGAGATTTTTAGAAATTTATTTTTTTTATTTAAACAAATGTTAATAAAATAGAAGGGAAAGGAGAGGATTTTTTATAAAAAAAATTTAAAAATCATTTTTGGATTGACACAAATAAAATATAAATTAGGTACAAAATAAATTAAAAAGATTTAAACCACAAATCTCGATTATTTGCCCATATGACAAGCGAAAAGAGAGTGAAAGAAGGAAAATATTGGGAAATTCTTTAAAGGATTTATAACTAAATTATGTTTAAATATTTAATTAATAATTTAAGGAAAATTAAATAAAAAATTTAAATAATTTAAAAAAAAAAGTTTAATTTAAAAATTCTTTTAAATTAAAAAAATTATTAGAGAAAAAAAAAGAATTTTTTAATTAAAATATTTATTTAGAAATATTTGGGTAAAATATATAAATACTTCCAAATAAAAACAAAATTATCAGATAGATATATACAAAATAGGGCAATTAATCGAATCAAACAGAATTTTTAGTGAAATGCCCCAAAATCAGAAATTGTTTCATTCATTCAGATTAACTTTCAGGAAAAACCTGATTTGAGTTTTTTTGGAAAGATTTTTAAGAGAAATTGGAAGAAAAATGAAAAGAGGGATTTTATGTAGGGAGAGAGGAGGAGGAGGGCAATCAAAAATACCCTCTCCCCCCTTCAAAATAAATTCTATTTTCTATCACGTTTGCGCATTTCCCTCCACATTTTTTCAACAATTTCTGCCATCAAAATTGGGCTGTTTCCGTGATTATTTGGAAAAAAGAATGCGCGGAATACTAAAAAGTTGAGGAGAAAATGAAAAAAATTTTTAAGGAAAATGAGTGGAGGGGAAGGGTCGACATTGTCGGAGAGACTTTTCTTTCTCTTTTCTTCCCTTTCATTAATCTATCAAAACCCCGCCCATTTTTCACATGAATCCGCCTTTACCCTCCTTTGCAGACGTTAAGTGGCGCGCGAATCAGGCATCAGCGGCGACAAAATGATCGCAGACCAAATTTGGATAGAAAAGGAGGTCTTCCTCTTCTCTTCCCTATCCCTATCCCTTATACTCTCTAACTACATATTTAATTGAAAGAAGATATATAAAGGGATTTAAATGTAATTTCACATCGGTTATGAATGAGAGAGAGAGAGAAAGAGAAAGAAATAAAGATCCGGGGAGGGAGAGGGGAATGGAGGGGGGGGGGGATAAAAAATAACAAGTGGAGAGGGGAGATCCGCCTTTATTGAATAAATAGGTCAGGGCTGGGGAGAGAGAGAGAGAGAAAAGAAGATTTATAAGGAAAGAGAAGGGAAAGTGAAAGGATTTGGTAAGATATACTAATTTTAATTATTTTATGTCAAAAATATATCTAAATTGTGACTCGACTTTAATTAATTTATGTCTTTTAAATTGTTTAAAAATTAAAGGGCATCTAATTAAATAGTTTTAAATTAAAATATAAATTATTAGTTTTTATAATAAATTTTGATTTTTTGAAAACTTTTGAAATAAAAATAAAAATAAATAAATTAAATAAACAATAGCTTTTTTACTTAAATCTTCATTCAAAGAAATATCTTTCACTTATTACCATAATTAAATAGTTGCCCTCTCCCCCTAATACTTATCCCCTTTCAAAACAATAATTACTCAAGGTAATTATTTTAGAATATATGGTAAATAAGTAAATAACGATAAATTTTAATAAGAGTTCAATAAAATTTAAACTTTTATTTTCTGATTTCTTAACAAACAAACTACATATTTATTTTGGATAAAAAAAGAAAATTAAAAATATTTAAAAATAATTAACAAATTAATTATTTAAATCAAAACAATTGCCAACAAATTTTTGAATCGATTTAACTCCGTTGCGCAAATTTAGAATAAAAATATATAGGTGGAGATTAAAATAAATAAATTTTGTAAGTATATAACAACAAAAAAAGAAGAGCAGCAACAAACACATTTCCCCAATCCTTTTTTATTTTTATTTTTGAAGGCCATTTTTATGGGGTAAAGACTGTCAAAAAATTTGTTAGTTTTCAAAAAGTTTTTTTCAACCCCTAAATACACAAAGAAATTTCTGGAAAGAAATTTTTGATTGAGTGAAGAAGAAATCAACAAAAATAATTAAAAATAAATTATTAAAATAAAAATTACCTAATTTATTTTTTATAAAAAATCCTTATAATTGCCAATTTTATTATTCATTATTTTCTTTTATTAATTTTTAATTTTTTATTATTAAAGAATATTTATTTATTTATTTTCCATTTTGGAGTCTATAAATTAAAAAATTATTTTGTAGAGCATTTTAAACGTTAATTCAATTTGACTTTAATTTATTTGGAAAGAAAATTTTTGAAAAAGAAAAACTTTTGATCATTTTATCATTTAAATGTGAACAAATTTATAATGTACTCCAAAATAAAAAGAAGAGAAAAGGAAGAAGAAAATTGTTACAAATTGTTTGCAACAAAATTAAAAAAATAAATTTATATTTTAATTTTTTTAATTTAAAAATAAATTTTAAAAAAATAAAAAAAAATATTTAGTAACACTTAAATAATGCTTAAACACCTATATTTGTTAATCCGAAATGTCTAAAAAACTTGGAGTATTTCTAGAATATTTTTAATTAATTAAAAATATTTTCAAATTAAATCAGTTTTTCTGTTTTTACGTCTTTTCTTTCTTTTTTTTAATCCAAATTATTGGGTCACAAAAATTCTTTTTATTTATTAAATGTGTTCAAATACCTTCTAAAATAAATAAAAATAAATAATAATTGTGCGCAGATTGCCCGCTAAATGTTAGAAAAAATGGCGCCAAATTTTTAAAGGCCATTTTTTTGCTAAAAAACGACAGATTCGGCCACCCAAAAATTTTTTTTCTTTTTATTTATTTTATTCTCTTCGAGGCCAACGGGTCAATGTCATGCAAGGGACCACACAAAAAACATTTAATAAATAAATAAATACAAATATTCTTTACCCAATTAATGTTTTGAGGGGAAATATTTAAAAAATATTTAATCTATGTATGATTCATGAAATAAAGAAATTAGCGCAGTATGTAAAACAATTTTGGATTATATTAAAATTTAAATAAATTACAAAATAATTAAAAATTAAAAAAAATTTTTAAGTAAAAATTCCAAAGAAAATCTCTATGTAGAGGAGGGCATTTAGAAATTTAGTAAACAAAAGGAAATAGGTAGATATAATTACTTGGATGTAATCATCCGGTGACCCTAGGACATTGTATTTACAAAAGAGTTTTGTATTATTTGGTATTTAAAATACATATTTACAATAGAAACTACTTTATGTAAAATTATTTTCTTTTTATTAATTTTAGAAATATTTAAAAATCAAAATAAATTAAAAATAAATTATTATCTTGTTTTTGTTTTCAGTTTTTAAATAAATAAAAACTTGTTTAAACATAAATATCTTTACTTAATTTATAAATATTTAATTTTGTTTTATTGGCTGTTTATGAATGAGCTAATTTTTCAAAAAAATACTTTTATTTATTTTTCAAGATTTTTCTTTTTTTTTAATTTGTCCAAAAATGGGCTTTTCTTTCTCATTATTATTTAATTTTTAATGAAAGAGAAAAGCCCTCCTCCTCTTCAATCACAACACCACCATGAAGAAGATAGCGCAATTTTCGCGCACTTTTCATCCGTTTTGTTACAAGTTTTTTTTATTTTATTTTATTCATCTTCTTCTTCTTTTTTAATAATTTTCCCTTTTTTAAGGTCCCGGAATTGTTTTCCTCTTCTTTTTCTTTCATCACAAACTAGTACAAATATAAATAATGATGAATAAAACAAGGATGAGGGCCAAAAACTTGTGTGCATTAACTAACAGCTTTTCCTAAAATGGAAAAAAAAGTTGTTCGCGAATATATACGCAATCAAAGTAACAGAAACAAAAATAAATAATAGAAAACTACATATAAACAATATTTAATTTGTAAAGAATATTTGTTTGGAAGAAGAGAATTGTCGAAAAATTAAAGTCAACATAAATTATAGGGAATTACTGTAGTTGTTGTTTGAATTTAACTAAAATAATTTTTTTCTGGCATTTTGTATTTATTTTTCTGGGTAGGGAACGTTTCAGCCCTAGGCAATATTTTGGAGGTCAACTTTCGAGTTCATAGTCTTCATACCCTATTTAAATGAATTTGATAGGAAATCTGAATGAATCTACGGATTATTATTAGTAAATCTGATCAGTTCACATCATATGAACTGTGATATCCGAGTAATCGCAAATGATTTGATCATCAGATCTATCTTACTATGAATAATAATCCTAACATTAAGAGCTTTCCGGTATTTTTTATCAATAAATGTGGCAGATTTATAATTTAACTCCTTTAAAAATATTTTTAAAACTTTTTAGGATTTTTAACCAAAAATATATGGAAATCACAGAAAATGGGAAAGAAACTTATTTTTCACATAAAGAGAGAATCTTCCCAGAACTTCAAAATGGAAAAATCCCCACAAATCAGTTTTTATTAGCCTGTCAAGGAATTGCTGATTTTGTTGGTTTGTTTTGTTTATATTTTTTTTAATTTTTATTTTCCAAAGGTTTTCTTGGTACTGCATTTATTCCTGTTAAAAATGATATTAGTGGGAATGTTCACAAAATCTCCAAATTATTTGAGACAGACAAAAAGAAAATGTATTTTCTTCAAGATTTAATTGACGAAGATATTTCTGAAAATAATGGAAAAATTGGAATAGCAACAGAAGGATTACTATGGCTAAAAAGGTTTTTTCTTGAAGATTCCTTCTTTAAAATTAAATTTTTAGAGGATTACAATTTATGCTTCTTTTACTTAAACAATTAGTTAAAGATTATCGAAATGGAATTTTAAATGGAGATTTGTCTAAATCAGAGAATTTAACTCCAAATCTACGACATTCTTATGAAAATACTTTAAAGAAGCATCACAATTTTATTTCTAAACAATTATTTAAGGTTTTAATTAAAATAATTTTTTAAATAAAAATTTCTTTAAAGGTTGTAATCCACGCTGCCCCTTCTAGAAAAACTTTATTAAAAGCTTTAGCCTATGGAAATGAAGGATTGGAAAAGGAATGTATAGACCACATAGATGAATTAATTGGGAATTTTGAAGCAAATGTTCAATCACTTGTTGCATATTATAATCTCAAAGGACTTGAAAGTCATCATTAAAAGACAATCAATTTATTGTAAAAATTTGAAAAATATCATAAAATAAATTCAAAAAAAAATAAAGTTATAAATTTTTGGGATTTTTATATTTGGTGAAAGTGTTAATAAGTAATTGGTCGAACCCTGTAGCCAGAAAATATTTTTGGAAAATAAGGATTTTAAAAATTCTGATTGTAAGATTAAAACTCCCCTACATTAGTGTTGGATTATTGAACGAATCCAATGGATTGTTCTATTTTGTTAAAATTGTTTTTAAGGAGTAGCCCCCTCCTCCTTTTTTCCCTTTTCCCGGTTCCGGACTCGAATAAGTTACAAAAAAAGAATCAGAAAATATTTTCTCCGTTTTTTTCATTTTAATTACCCTTATCCATTCCATATTTTCTCATCCAATCGTCACAACTCATTCGAGAGTAAATACCATTTTTTGGGGTTGAAAGACCCTTTAAATTAATTTTTAAAAGAAAATATTTTAAAAACTAACCGTTTCAACTTCTGAAAATCGACGTTTTTTATTTTTTTCTTCAAAAGTTTTTCCAATTTCTTCAGCTTCCCCTTCAGATAATGGAATTCCAATTAATTCGGCAGCACGCCTTTTCTTTATTATTGGAGATTTTGGTGGCTACAAAATAAAAATTTGTGTAAAATAAAATTAATCAAAAACCTTAAAAGTCCCAAATTTTTCTTCCAAAATTAATTCTTCTTCTTCCTCTTTTCTTTCCAAAATATTTTTATAATTTAAATTCCAAATTGACCATTCTGGAATTTTAACTGGAAATACAAATTCATCTGTTATTGTTGGCAAATGCAATTTATTTTCAGGATTTCCAAGTGCGAGACGTGTTGCTTTTCGGGGAGAGAAAATCTTTAAAAGAAAATAAATTTTGAAAATAAAATTTAAAAAAGAAACCTCTCCAGCATATGGATATTTTGTAGATTCTTTTGGTGACATTGAATTTTCCTAAAATTATATTTTTTATGGATTTCGGTGCAGAAGCAATTTCTGGACGTCCAAAAATTTTTTAATCAATTTTAACAATTCTTGGAATGAATATTTCGTGTCGGGCTAACTCACGGAATGACCAAAACAGGGAATATTACAAATATCGGAATTTTTTGAAAATCTGAATATTTTTAAAAAATAAGACTTTTTAAAAAAACGAGAATATTTTAAAAAACAGAATTAAAAAAAGATTCTGAAAAAGTCTGATTTCTAAAAATATTCTGATTTTTAAAATATTCAGTGTTTTGGACATTCCATGAGTTGGTCGTTCAGTGATTTAGTATTTCCGTGACCTGTCTGTTCTGTGATCTGGAATTCCTCGAGTTAGCCCCCATCCGAATATTTGTGGGTCGTTCATACTTTTTTAAAGTGTGGTTTTGAGAAATCATGTGAATCAATCCCCCCCAAATATTTTTTAATTAAAAGAAACCTTTTCTTCTTCGTCTACTGGATAGGCATTCAACGGAACTTGTTGTCTCAGACTAAAAATTGAATAAAAATTACTTTAAAAATATAATTTAAGAAAACTTTGGATCATACACAACTTGATAAAGAAAAGTATTTTCAGCTTTAATAAAATCATTTACAAAATTTTTATCCAATTTTGATCTCATTCTTTTGTTTAAATAAAGCGGTAAACGAGGTAAAAGCTAAAAATTGATAAAAAATATTTTTTGAATATTTAAAAAACTGTTTTTAATTCAGGTTGATTTGTTTTTGCAAAAATTTCCTCAGCTCCTTTTAATCCAACTCCTTGAAGACCCCCTTGTAAATAATCACAACCAGCCAAAATACAAATTCGGCGAAATGTTGGAAATTGAAATTTACGTCTCAAAATGGGACATAAACAATTTGGCATTTTTTCCTTTTCGTAAATAACACAAGAACCGTCTGTTGGATTCATTTTGAAAATAATCTTTAAAAAATTTTTTAGATATTATATCTGTAAATTTTATTATCATAATTATACTTTACTAAATTTATTGAGGCAAGTGACCCGGAAATTGATGAAGGGGCAACAATTTTGTTAGAATTAAAAATTATTAAGCTATAATTCTGAGGGAAAAGTTTCCCATAGAATTTTTTATGGGAAATTTAAAAAAGAAAAAACCTTATCACAACCAAAAACAATGAGATCTGAATCTTCAGTAATGACTGCATGTGCAAATCCTTTTTGAACCATATAAGCAATTTGAGCATCAGCCTCATACGGCGCCACAATAACATCCACATTATTAACATTTTTGAATGACTGAAAAATTATATTTACAAAAAAATTTACAATTAAAAAACCCTTATAGTTTTCTCCACAATATCTCTAGTTAATTCAGCGCCACGACAAAATGCTTGAAATGCTTCCCCTTTCAATCCCTGGCTCATTAATTGTTCTCCCAAAATTTGGTATTTTTCTCTAGATTCTCTTCTCGAATCATTTGTTGTCTTTTTAGCAGGTAAAGGACGGCCATCAAAAACTAAAATGACATGACATTTCCGAGCCAATAAAAGTTTAACATATTTCCAAACATAGCCAACATAACTAGAAAAAAATTTTTAAAGAAATATATAAATTCCATTTACAAATCAGTTTCTTGTCTCATTGCTATTTTCTCTGCACACCCAATAAGACCACGATGTAATAAACAACTGGCATCTACAAGTAAAGATTTTCCTTCAAATTGTGTGATGTTACCCTAAAATAAGTGTGTAAAATTAAATAAAAAAAATTCTAAAAATATTTTCATTACCTCTTGGCAAGCTTTTTTCATGAAAGGCAACAAACCAGGAACTCCCATCAAATTTTTTTCTATTAGTAGCTTAAACGTAAAAAACGAAAATAAAATATTTTACAAATTTACATTGGCGCTTTTAATTTTTTCAAGTTTTCGTTTTAAAACTCGTTTTGATCATTTATCTGAAAATCGCTCTCTTTCGAATGACTCTTTCTAAACTCAAAAAGTTTGTGGACACTATTTCAAATGCTCAGTATTGGATTGCATGACCTCGGACGAGATTGAATCAGCCAATCTAAATTGACCGTAAATCGTCCATTCTAGACGGATATTCTGAATTATCCCCTACCTCAAAAAGTTGCAACGATCCCCACAGTCAAAACATGCAGATCAGAAAAAAGTGAAAATTTTTTATACAATAATAGGGTAATAAAAAATAATTAAAATTATTATTTTTAGTTAACATTTTCTCAAATCTCTTAAATCCAAATGTCATGTCAAAATAGATAATTAATTTGGAAAAATTGTAATATTTTAATGAAATTTAATTTTATAAATCTAAAATCCAACAATTTTCACATTTTTACTAAGTCGGGTGATTGAGGTGGAATTTGATATTTCTCGTCATTATCAGCCCCAGCCTTTCTAATGAGTGCATTCTGTCTTTGTGCAACATTTGCAGATCTAGCAATAACAATACTATCTCGCAATTGTGTAGCATCTTTAGCCGATAAAATAGCCCGGGCTGCTTGTGAAACATAACCATTTTGGTCTACACGTTGTGAAAGTTTATCAATTCTTGATCGGCCAATTCTTTGATTTTGAGAAGCTAAAAGTATAAAAAGAAATTTTTAAAGTTTCAATTCCACACCTTCTGATAATTGTTCCCAACGGTCCTTTAATTTAGAAACAGTCGTTCCCCGAATAGAATCATCAGAAATAAGTGAATCCTCGTCTATATCGAAATTATCTTCTGATTCTTCACAAATTGTTGACTCAGGGTCAATTGATGGAGGACCAATGCAAAATTTATTAATATTTTCATCAAGAATTAAATGCCTAGGAAAGGGTAAAATTTAAAATAAAAAAATAACCTTTCCAGCTCAGGCAAAATTTGTGAAAATTCGGGACGTGCTATTGGGTCTGAAATTAAAAAATATATTTTTTCTTAATTTAAAAGAGAATGCCTGGTTGCCAAGCTTGATTGAGTATATCAATAATGTGCTTTGGAAATTGAGCATTAGGTTCAGATGGAAGAGGAGGGCGATCTAAAATTTATTATTTATTTTAAATTTTATTATTCAATCAACTTCTTTTGTATGCCATCTCTGCTGCTGCAGCTGCCGGTTTTAAATGAGAAAAAGGTAATTCAGCTGTGTGAATCTCCCATAAAACTAAAGCAAAGCTGAACACATCTACTTTATGGTCATAACGGCAACTTTGTGTAAAAACTTCTGGAGCCATCCAACGAAGGTTCTATAAATAATTATCTATAGATATGTAAATAGAAC